GAGATCAGTCAAGAGTAGTAGTGGTAGGTTTGAAAAAAAAAACGATGTTATCCGCGATCTATACTGGAATGAAGGACTGAAACCACCAACATCCACCCTCATGAGTACTGTGTCCTATTCTGTCTGCATATTCATTAAGGACATGGGAAATGGTTTGATTGGGAAAGCAAGTTCAGGTCATTGCCATATCTCAGGTGTTGTTAATATTGTCTGTCTTGCATGGTTATATAGTTGCTATAAATAGTTATTCCTATTAGAAACGACATTGGGTCAGTTGTAGGTGTCTTATGTTATGTATAGCCGACAGGCTATGGAGAGGTTTCTATTAGGCAGAATGGAATTCCTAAGAGTCTAATACTATGTAAACTTATCGAACAAGCAAGAAGCACCATAGGGCAGCATCGGGTACTCCGTATATCGTTGAGACGTGACAATATGTAGACTAATAAACCAAGATTACCTACGACATCCCTGTAACTTACGGGTGGTAGCATATAGAAAAGGAACAAAATGAGGCTAGTCATGCACCTAGATGCATGGATTCTATAATATTGTTGGTCACAAAGGCATTGTTCCTCATGATATACCTCTGCCATGGGCTATTCTCTTTCTTCAAGATGATTATACTACTACATAGATATTGTCCATCCTGATCCCCGCAATCTTGTTCTTAAGCGAAAGTATTTCAAATAATATCACCTTTTCTGTTTTTCTCTTATAATTTAATCTTAGACCGCGTCCGTGGGGTCTCTAACCCTTGTGGATCCAGGACACGAAAAGCACTAGACGCGCCCAGGCTAGGATTGAGAAATTGATGTGTGACAGTATTATAACCCTTAAGAAAGAGTCCTAGAAAAGTGAAGTGGAACAATTGAGACCTGAAAGACGTGGAATCTTCAATATCAAAAGGTTTTATAGGGGAGCATCGAGAAGGAAGGTCAATTTTATACGCGTTTATAGGACACCAGTCTAAAACATTCTAAACCAAGCCATTCCACAGTATTAACAGTATCAAAACACAATTGCAATGTCCAAATCGAAATGCAAACGCGTTCTCAGACACGCCTGTGTGGAGCCCCAGTCCGTGCTCTATACAAGGCTAGTAAGTTATCGACCTAAACGCGATCGACGCGAGGACCGTTTTTCTTTTCCCAGTTCGACTTTCTACCTACTTCCTACTTTCTACTTGCTTTCTATATCTTAGCTTCCCACTTACCAATTGTGATAACCCTGGAAGTTGCAGTTCTCTTTACATATCGTATTGGTTCGCGTCAGACTTCCCCGCAGCACTTCCGGATTCTACCATCTCAACCTTCTATTCCCCTCAATACTCCCTCGGACTCACCTGTGCACTATTCGAAAGCTATATAATGAATTCAACTTCGGTGCAATTCAGTCCTCTCAAGGACGGACGACAAATTCTCGGCGAGAGAGACTCAAACGCGTGTCTGCCCCCCGCCACACACGCCAAACCGTCATTCCCGACCATTGGGACCCCGGTCAGGCGGATGCCAATTGCTACCTCACCTAAGAAGCTCCTCCCCTCTCCTATATTTGCAGGCCAAAAACGGACACGGGATCAAGTGGATGACAGGGGAGAACTTCTCGGACACGTGCAGGCGCGGGAATCCTCTCCGCAGCTCGGCGTCCAATCCACCGTAAAAGATGATATGCAAAGCCAGGTAAGCCCATGCGAGACAGACAAAGAAGTCCCGGGAATGACCAGTCCAAAGCTAACACTGTAACGCGCGAATGATAGCTCATCCAAACCCCGACACCACAAAACTCACAATCTGAATGCGGCCAAACACAAGATCTAATGGACATCGATCGATCTTTCAATGTGCCTAGCACCCCCGAGCAAGACATGCATAGCGTTACCTTAGACTCCGACGCGCGCAAAAAGTTCATCCAACAAGTATGCGAGCCATGATCTCAGTATCAAACACCTTCCCCAGCGGGCAGTTTCTAACAATTGAACAGAAAGCAAGCCTTCTCCGATCAAGACTACAGAGCGCGATGCGCAATGTGACAGACCACCAATTTGACCGCCGGGTCTCTGAGCTAGAAGCACACAGTCGTAAATGCCCACGGCTCTCACTCTCCGTCCTCGCCACGCCACCCCTCTCATCGCGCAAACAATTCACATCTTTCTCATCCTCGCAAATAAAGACACCCCGCATCGGCTGCGCTGGCTTCATCTCCACCCCCTCCCACAGCACACCCGATCTTCCAGGCCGACCTTCGCCATTGTCTTCCAGCGTTGTTCAGCAACGCGCAAAGTCACATGCCCAACGAACACCGCCTCGTGCGCTCGGCTCCCCAGTGCAGCTGAGTAGTCCTCCAGCTACGGTCATTCGCCGTGAAGCCGATAGGGAAACAAGCATGGGCCCAAGAGCCGAGCTTATGGATGATGTGGATGCTATGTCGCCGTCACAGCGAGGCGACGCGGTCGATGGGCTATTGAAACTCATGAGTACGACAGGCAATCAAAGCTCGGATGCCTGGACTGGATGATTCGACCGCGTTTTCTTTTTTTTTGTGTTTTGTCTATGCTGTCTGGGCTATTGCTTACCGTGTGGAGCATGCCCGAGTGGATTCAGTCGCATTACAGTGGATAGGAGCCATTGCCAGAGCAATGAATTGCATGATGTATAGGGCCATGACAAACATATCGAGGTTTGTTGATATACAAGTATTGGTCCGAACATGACGGGGTAATCCCATTTTGGAAGCATGCAGCATTATTAGAATAATTCGTCTATATGTTGCGATCAATGATACCATTTTTGCATTTGAACAGTGATTAGTTCTCGTCCTAATTCTAGTATACAGATTTGAAACCAATAGCAGTGCCACTTCCTAGGCAGTACATAAGACTCATATTATCAAGTCATTGAATGTTACACTACAAGTCCCAATCCAGAAAAAGATCGCTAAATATATCAATTGATTCAAGGCCGACAGCATCTATCTAATAACACGCCCCTCAGCGAACCTTCTTCAACTTATTACGCTTCCGTCCAAGGATATCGCGACCCTCATCAATCTCACCCGCAGCCTCACGCTTCGCAGCGCCAACATCCTTGAGCAGACTGGTTCTAACAACACGACTCTCAATATTGACACCTTCCTGCGCGAACTCCTCCATCTGCCTACCAACTCGCTCCTCAATGGCAAGAACGAGCTCGACATCACGCTGTCCAACAAGCGTGGTAGCCTCACCATTCCGTCCCGCACGCGCAGTACGACCAACACGGTGTACATAGTCATCCGGATTCCGGGGCACATCGAAATTGATAACCAGCTCTACGGACGGGATATCAAGACCACGCGATGCAACGTCCGTAGCAACCAAGACACGGGCAGCGGTGGCTCGGAAACGAGCCAGGTTAGCTGTGCGCTCGGATTGCGGGAGGATACTGTGAAGGGATGTGATGCGGTGGCCGAGGCGGCGAAGAGTGCGTTCTAGCAGATCGCATGTCTTGGTATGGTTGCAGAAGACGATGACTGGCTTAGTGACGTTTATTTCGGTGGAAAGCAGCGCGTGCAGGAAGGCCTCGCGGTGTGTCATGGGAACCTTCAGGTATGTCTGCTTCAGGGTTGGCGGAATCTTGCCTTGATTTTCGGTGCCGATCTCGGTCATGAAGATCGGTGGCTTATTGCCTGCGGCCGGCATAGATTTCAGTGCCCGCACTTCGGCGGTCATGGTCGCCGTGAATAGCAGTGTTTGACGTTCGGCCGATGGTGGAAGGGCTCCGAGACATGTTTCCACGTCTGGTAGCATGCTTCCCGGCCCACTGGCTAGCAGGCGATCGGCTTCATCGAGAACTACCATTTTGACGCGGCGGAGACCGGCCACTGTGTCGTCTCCGGACGTCTTGATGTGATCGGCGAGTCGGCCGGGTGTTGCGATGACCACGTGCGGCCGGTTCGCAAGTTCAATAGCCTGCTTCCGCATATCCATGCCTCCAACGACGAGGATAGGCTTCATATTTTGCGGCGCGGAAACGGCCCTGAACTGTTCATAGATCTGGAGTGCAAGCTCACTAGACGGAGAAAATAGAGTCAGTTACCGAGGATGAAATAAAGACGAAAGATAGAACCTCTCATATCCACTAGGACATTGAAACATACCGAGTTGGGGTCAAAACTAAAGCGTAGATCCCGAAAGGATTCCGCGCCCATTGCTGCATAATCGGAACTGCAAAGGCCATGGTCTTTCCGGAACCAGTGCGACTTCCACCAATACAGTCTTTCCCTTTCAAGATCTCAGGAATGCAAGCCTTCTGAATAGCAGTTGGCCTTTTGATCGCCATTGTCGCCAACGAAGAGACAAGCCAAGGTGCGACATCTAATTCCGAAAAAGTGGACAGCCCGCTCTGTTTACCAAGCTCAATTGCATCGCTAATAAGAACCGGATCATCTTCCTTCGATTCAGGCTCCTCCTCTACCTCGCCCTTCTTCTTGATACGAGAGAGGGTGGGGAGCGGCGCAGGCGCGACGTATGAGTCGTTGGAAGACTCTGAGAGACGGCGGCGCTTGGGGGCTCGGTCGTCGACATCGGGTTGTTCAACATCAGAGTTATCAGACACATCGGAGTCCTCGAACTCGGGGTTCTCTGTGATCGGGGGCGCCATCTTCTTTGCGACTGTCTATCAGGACGAAATAATTTTGTGGCAGAAAAAGTTATCTCTAATAAGCGGTGGGAGGTTGCGGGCCTGGTTTATAAGGCACTGTATATGCATCAAATGACCTTGGAGAAAATCCCATCGTATTTAGTTAAATAAGTAGGGTTTCAATTAATACTTAATAGACATCAATTGGTTTTGAGTCTGTGGAACAACCGATCTATTTGTTTAGTCGCTGCCGGAGAAACTAGACATCAATCAATATTCCAAATTGTTCATCGAATGGTGTATAATAGTGGTGAGAACGAAAACATAACCAAACATAATTCGAGAAACTTTTTATTGCCACATAGGCTATAGTAGCACCATTTAGTCCGCCCGACTAGCTGTGCTTCTGCGCGAAACCCGGGAGGCGAGCTCATACGCCTCACCTCGCTCTAGCTCATCCTCTTCGACTGCAGACGCCAGAGAAGCTGAAGTTCGGTTTCGTAGGACTCCGTCATCTCCACTCGAATATTCCTCCTGGGCACCACTAGCTATTGCTTCATCGTAGTCCTCCAGTCCGTGGGTGCCACCGACACTTTCCATGGTGAATGGACTAGCTGTCGGCCCATCGAGTGCTGCAAGCTCCTGGCGGGAGAACCATTTAGGAAGCAGGAATGAGCGCGCCGGGATTAGGAGGAGAATAATAACAGGGAACCCGATGGCAGCGATGGTCTGAGTGATAGCGAAAGTCGCACCAAAGCCAAACAATTCAAGAGCGACGAAGGCCCAGATGGCGAAACGGCGCTCGATTCGCTTCAGAGGATTCGACGCAGAGGTAAACTTCTTGTCCTCAGCGAGGAAAATCAGTTTTTGCGTAATGCCATTGCCTTGTAGAGCCTGGACACCCATAACAAAGAACAGACCAGCCATGACACCCTGTGGAATCAAGTGGAGCACGATGAGGAGGGGTCCAGTCATTGTTCCGAGGGTCAAAAGGCCCTGTGCGAAGTTGCTAACACGCTGCTCTACTATGTGGTCTGTAATCCGGATAGCTTTCCCCTTATTTGTATCATCTTCGTCTGCGACCTGGCGAGTGACGCAGAGGGCGGCAGTGTGGAAGGGGGCCTGGGGAATCAGACCATTGGGGAATGGTACTCCCAGAAGTCCAGCTACAAAGGTTGTGAGGCCGAGGAGCCAGAGGTCCCAGTGGAAGCCAGCTGGCTTTCGAAGAGGAAATTCGGTTCCTTGGGCAATGAGAGATGACACTGGAAGAGACGTGTCAGCCATACAAATCTACTGTAACTTGATCGATGTAGAATACTCACCATTATGATCAAAATAAAAGAGAATTGTAAGAAGAAGCGCAAATGGGATGGCAAGGAAAATATCCCCAACACTGATATCCCAGAACCGCACAAGCCAAGACCGGTCACTTGTAGGAAAGAAAGCTTTGCTAGTAGGGAGCGTAGCGACATCAACATCTCTCATTTTACCGATGTAGACGAAACCGGTAAAAAAGATGATGGTCAAAGGTGTACCATAGTCCTCAAGAAATTTCCGAATGAATCGCTTGAAAAGATGGCCGTTGCCCAGCTCTCCACAGATCCATGCACACATTAGGACAAGTAGTGCAACCATGATACTCAGATAAGCAGAGGTCTCTCCAACAGAGCCCCATTGTCTAGTGAGAACTTGAATGCCCTTCTGAATATAGATGCAAGCAACGTAGAATCCAAAGATGTCGCACGAGAACCGAGTGACATAGGTCAGGGCGTTGCAGGCATTAGTGATGGCCAGTATCCAATGCATAATCAAAGACCAGCTATTATGGATGTCAGCAAAGTCAATGATCGAAGATGACAAAGGAAACTCACATTCCAATCCAACACATAAATGCAAGATACGGTGTCCCTCGAGGAGCCATGATATCATAGACAGTATAGTTGAACACAGTGATGGGACCTACAATCCTCAGTTCAACTTTCCATGTCCATATATTCCAGGTTTCTTACCAGTGACTCCGACAATGACCAACGGTTGGGCCGCAAAAAGCGAAAATACAAATGCACCAAGAACGGAAGCAAGTAGGACTTCATTAACGCCATAGCTTTGACTTGTCTTCTCGAACATATCCAACGAGAAGGCCAAAGCAGGCAAGATACTACACTGATTGTTAGCAAATGAAACAGTGCGCCGGAGAAGAAGAGGTTGATTTAACCAATCAGAGCAAGCATACTTAGCAAAATACATATAGACCGTAGCAGGCACGACACGATAATCCCATGCATCAGTCCAATCGCTCCAATAATATGGTGCTCTGCGCTTGACGTCGTTGACCATTCCACGGAACAAATGGACGTGCCACCATCGTTCCTGGGCTGAGTGCAACCCCGTTGTCGACGCACCGCGATGCGAGTTTTCTTGCGGGCCGTCTTGTCGGTCAAGAGACTGGTCAGACTGGTGTGCGGTACCATGATCAGCTCTGCCTGAGCCCTTTGAGCGCACCGATGATAGCTGTTGCGACTGCCAAGAAGATTTCCGCTGAGCGGACGTGGAGTGCATGTTGGGTCCCGGGAGGGACAAATCCCCGTGTGACGATCCTTGCATATGCAATTGTGGGATAAATCCGATTATTCTTTAGTGTAATACAACTGTGTTAGAGATGAATCAAGGAGTCTACGGATGAAATGTAGACACTCTGGAAAGTTCTCATGAATTGCGTGAAGAGAGAAAAGGAAACTACCTATCTGCTGGGACTAACATAGTTGTTAGGAGCGGAGAGAAGTCACATGACTTCGAACACCCCCCACAACTAACAAATAGTCGAGTTTCCAGCGTAGTTTGAATACTATCTCTCCATGAAAAAACAAAACCAGATACCTGCTTATATACATATATGAACTTAACCCATATTATAGACCGAGAGGCCGATCTGTGAAATCCATCGCTTAAACATGACTCTTCCAAGTGGCTTTGTAAGTCCATCCGCTACCATCTCAGCAGTAGGAATCTTGATAAATTTCACTGAGCCATTCGCGACTTCCTCTCGAAGTCTATAAAACCAGATTGCGATATACTTTATATTCACATGAAATTTAGGATTTAAGGTAAGCGCAATTGCCCCATTATTATCAGCGTAGATAGGAATTAGCTTCACTAAGAAGCCTTCGATACCGATCTCAGAAAGCAGTTAGGATAACCAGATCGCTTCCTATACCGCTAGTACTTCTGTAATATACTCGCTCTCTATGGTAGACAGTGCTATATAAGGCTATTTCTTTGATATCCATAAAATAAGGCCACCCCCCATTTTAAAAACAAAACCGGAGGTTAACAGACCTTTTTCACTATACAGACCTGCCTAGTCTATATCATAATAACCAGAGAGTAAAGCTTCTCCTTCTATAGAATAGGAGAGGACTAGATTCTTCATACCAGTAAGATACCTAAATACCCTCTTTAATACTTAGAAGTAGGCTTCACTAGGGTTCTTCACATACCGCGCGAGTTTAATAACCATAAAAGAGATATCGGGCCTCATCGAAACTATAAGCTATATTAAAGTTCTAACCTTTATCTGAAATTCCTTAATCTATAACTTGGTTACAGTACCCTTATAGGGAATTAAGGCTGTTTTTTCGTCTATAGGTATAGCCACTAGCTTACAGCTTTTAAGTCTAAAGTATATAAGGATCTTCTCTATATAGTCAAATTGTAATAGGAGAATTTTTCCTTTATTATAAAAAACGTTTATTATAAGATATTATTCGAGACGTCCTTTATCAGAAATATTAAAGTACTTCGAGATTACAATCTTGAATTCTTAAATATCGCTCTCAGAGGCGCATAAGACTAGGAGGTTATCGATATAGATCATAATAAAGATAGGAGGCTTCCTATATTCCTTCTTAAAAAAGATAGAGTGATCGGATTGTATCCTACTAAATCCTATAGTAATCAGTATATCGTATAGCAGTCGATACCACTTATAAGGACTCTATTTTAAGCTGTAAATAGTTTTTATTAGGAGACTAATCTAGTTAGGAAATTCTTCTCTTTACCCTTTAGGAAGTTCAATTTCAATAGGTTCTTTTAACTTAATATATAAAAATGCTATTATAATATTAATATAGTATAACAGCCAACCTATAGTAGCTGCAATAGCTATAAAGATTTTAAATAATATTAGCTTTATAACAACTATATAAACTTTAAAGAAATCAAGATCCTTAATTTATCGAAAGCCTCAAGTAACGAGTCTTACTTTATAGGTACTATCATACTTAATTTTAAATACCTAGCGTAAGGTAAAGGGTTTATAACCCTTCCTTCCTTATCCTTAAGGGATTATCCTCTATATTCTATTAATCATTTACTGAGAAAGTTCTTTATAAGTAGTAGTAAGCCACTTCTCCTTCTTAATATAGGATATAGCTTCCTTCCAATCTTTTAGCTCAAAACTAATATTAGTAGGTTTTAGCTTAAAAGGTATATATTAAGGTTCTTTTAAGATTACTATAGAGTAAAGATTAAGTAGAATCTCTAAAGACTTAGTAAGTAGATATAAAACATTTGTATTAAAGAAGGAACGAGTTTAAAGGCTTTCGAGGTAAGCTTAAGTCAGTTTATACTACCTAGAGGAACGATAAGGTTCCCTAACTGGTTCTTAAGTTCTTAATAACGAGATATAAGTCAGGTCAGAGGCTCGGTCATCTAGGATCAACTTAAAATAAGAGTAACCATAGTATAAATCCTAAGATAAATCCTAGGAGAAATTTTATTCAACCTCTTCCTAGATAGGTAGCTATAGCTCTACTTTAATATAGGCACTTAGCTTATCCCGTTATTCTTCTATAAACCTTCTAAAGCTACCTACTATATTAATATCGTCGTTATTCGCTAGGTTAAAGGATTCTAGGTCCAGAAGTTATTCTTTAAGAATTACAGGGTTCGAGGGTTTGAGGGAAGGACTTATTAGGCCAAAAAGGCTCTTATTAAGATCGTCCTTAACTAAGGGAGGTAGAGGAATGCTAAAACATAGAGGTACCGAGGGTAGATAACTTAGGACTCATGGTATATTATTTATAACTAAGGAAAAGTCGAATTACTCCGTAGGTACTCTATAATAATCATATTAATTTAAAAAATTAACTAGAATATAGTGATTAGAAGGGGAAACCTCCTACTATAGCAAATTTATACCTTTAATATTTAAGTTATACTTCGGGTTAGGAAGTACCTTTAATATTAGTACTTTATTAAAAATAACGTTTCGAGAACGTTTAATTTTCTTTATCTATATATTATATAGGACGTAGTTATCGCCTTTATTATAAGTAATCAGTCTAGCTTCCTCTATATAAGGGTCTAACTTCATTTATCTTTTTTCTTTAGAGATTAGGAACCAGTATTAGTATCCTAGAGCCCAAAGATTTAATAAGTTAGGTTTTTTACTATACAGCGCTTTGTATAGCAATATCCCGATTTTTAAGATATAGAGACAGTTCATTATATAGTTAATACCTCCTAGGAGATAACCCTAGAGGTACTTCGGGAGCTAATACTCTATTATAATAGCTACTAAAGGCTCAATAAGGTAATAATTTTTAATCTCCGCAATACCATTTAGCTGCTTTATATAAGGAGGAATAGGATCCTATATCACTCCTTTAGATTTTAGGTAAGTCACAAGAGGTTTATACTCTATAGCATTATCCCTATAAACTTTTTTAACTATATACCCGAACTAAGTCTTAAGGTAGGTCTTAAGCTAGATATATTATTCGGTAACCTATAATCTAGACTTAAGTAAGAACAGCTAGGTAAAACGTATAGCGTCATCTATAAAGGTAATAAAATATCTCTCACCTCTATATAAAGCAATTGAGATAGGACCCCAGATATCTAGATAGATAAATTCTCTAGGGTTCGAGCGGATAGATCTAACTTTCCTAAAAGGGAGTATATATCCTTTTCCTTTAATATAAGGTATATAGGGATAAGTAACTCCAGCACCTTTTTTTAACTTAATACCTTTGGCATACATTTCTATTTTCCGAACTTAATCCTCGCCTATATAATAGGCGCAGCGATAAGTAAGGTTAATAGAAATTAATATAGGAGAATCTTTCTTAACTATAAAAACTAAGTTCAGAGACCCAGTAATAAGGTTACAGTCAAGTATAAAATCTACTTTATCTATACTACAACAATTCAGCTAGTAATATTCTCCTTTACAGAGTATATAGCTAACAATTAACTTAGGAGAACCATAAGTATCTTAGTACTTAAATATCATAATACCGTTCTTTACCTAGGTACTAATATCTACTTTATTAAGAGTAGATATAGAAATAAGGCTAGACTTAAGTTCCAGTATAAGCCAAACTTTTTAAAGAGTAAGAGAGGCCAGATAATCAGTTATATTATAATTAAGAAGTTAGAGAATAACGTCTCCATATCCTTCTATATAAAAGACTTTACCAGTTACCGTTAAGATAGGAAGTATATATTATCTAAAATTAATAAAGACTAACTAATAAGGGGTTATATAAGTACTTATACCTAAGTCAATTATCTAGCGAGAAACGTTATTATTATCGCTTACAGCCTATCCTTCCTTAGAAACAGAATAGGAACTATAAGTAGTATTTACTTAGAATAGCGCATTAGTAAACAGGTTATTATATCTATTAAGGGGGTTACTAGAAGGGGGTCCTTACTATAGACTAGGTAGGGCTATATACAGAGTATAAACCACATTCGCTCCTAGTTAAGGCTATTACTAGTATTACTAAACAGGGATAACCTATCCTTAAGTATCCACTTAGCTAATAATCTAATTAGGTTATAGAACAGGGACTTACTAGATTAGTTATTAGGTAAACTACTAAGATTAGGTATAATGAATTGTATTCGCTACTCCTCGCTTATTCCTTAAAGGGCAGTTTCTTAAGTAGTGATTTCTAAGAGTATTATAGATAGTATATAAAATAATATCCTCCTCTTTTTTATACTATTACTTCTTCTTCAGCTTTTTATTAGAAGAATTATTATTAGAATCGTTATTATTATTTAAAGATCCCTTTTTATTATCGTTCTATCCCTTCTTATTATCCTTCTTCTTATTATCAGAATTAGAGTAGGATAAACTGTCCTTTTAAGTAGACATTATATTTATAGAAGGATTATAGCTCGAGTGGCCTCTACTAGCGATTTTTATAGATCCTTCTATAAGGACAAACTTATAATAGATATCTATTATAAAATAGTGATTACTAAGATCAGGTTTCAAGGATTAAATGAATACCTAATAGCGAGGATTACTCTAAATAGCACAGATAAAAAAATTGAGGGTTATCGTAGGATCTAAAGAGGATCCCTTTTAATAAATCTCGAAGAGTACTTCCTTAAACTAGCAAACAAATTCCTAGGGATTGTTTCCCTTATACTAAAGATTACAGAGGGTTTCGAAGCGTTTAAAGTTAGTCTACTATAATAGTATACTGTATTCTCTCATAAGGATCTAAATAATTTCTCATATAACATCGGTCTACTTAACG